AATTGCTCGGCGCTCGGTTTCAAACAAATAAAATCGCGTAATAATAACAATAACGAAACGTTTTCGAAAACCCGGGGAAACGAGTTTCGGTACGGATGTCGGGCGCATACCGAATACGAACGTTACGTGTATGCGCGCGGAGATTCGGCGGATACGGAGATACGCGGACCGGACGGAACCTTCGCGCGCGACCGGGGCTTGTAACGCCGCGCGCGCATATAACCGGCTGTGATTTTTCAACTATTCGCGGTTTTTTTTTTTTTTTTAATTTGATTTTTATTTTTTTTTCCCTCGCGTATACTTACACGAATACCTACGCGCGGGGTTATAATAAGAGTACCGTGTAGCGTACCGCGGAGTCGTAGCGTGTGAGCGCGTGCGGTTGTCTGCTCGGGTAATTTATGGATTCGCCCGGATGCGAGCCAACACACACACACAAAGTACGCGCGTAATTACAAAATATTCTCGTCCGTTGCCAATAAATCATTTTTCAGCGGCGTGTGTGTTCATTTCACGTATTACATTATCCCGGGCCCGGTGTACACGTATATATATATAAAACGTCAGGGGAGGGCGTCGCGCGGGGCGTAACGGTGCGGCGCGGGGCGAACAAATAACAATTTTATAATATGTAATTAATAAAACGTAAACGTTTTACGAAACTGGTAGAAACCCGGGAAAATAAAAAGAAAAAAAACGATCAGATCGTCTGCGGGACCGCGGTGCGCGCGACAGCAGGAACCGTGTTTGTTTGCGAGCCGCGGACCCCATCGAAATATCCGGGCCGCGTAACGCGTTTTCGTCGGATAAGGCGTAAACGGCGCGTTGACGATAAACGTAAAGTATACGGGAACGTCGTGGTGTACGTATACATATATCGAGTAGACTCAGCCGAAATACCGAATGTCCGCCGAATGTAACGCCGTCTCGAGTAAAAACGCGTATCGTCGGTGCTCGAATACGAATTCGAAAAAAAAAAAAATAGAAGGAGAACGCGAGTGCCGAAAAAAAAAAAATAAATAAAAAAAATATACGAGTAAATGCGATTACCGCAGTGTACTTTACGGATACCAGATTGGCGGCCGTTTTAAATGGAGTCGACGCGCTACGCTTTCGACTTCTACAACGTCAGCCGTCTACTAATCCGTCGAAAATAAAAAAAAAAAAACGACAACGTTCGCACAATATGATGTCCGCCCGAGATACCGCGGCGAAACGACGCAACAAAACATATTCGGAATTTTCCCGCTTCGTTTTAACAAGCGGGAGTATAGCGCGAACGAACGCCGGGAGATTTAGAGTCTTTACGCCCGTTCGCGTATTCGTACGGTAATAATACGCTAACCGACCCGACAGCGCTTCACAGTGCCGTTGCTAGGGGTCGCTGTAAATTGCGTCCCATTTGTATGTGAATTGCGGCCCCGACATATTTTGTACATACGTAAATTGCGGCCCGAGTGTATTTTGTACATATGTGTAAATTGCGGCCCGAGTGCCCACAAATTATTATTATTAAATTTCAAAAAACACTTACACGTTTCAACAGTGCAACACCAACGTTGAATATCATTTTTCAGCATTTTATGGAAACGAAATTTGAAACCATCAACTACTTTCAAAGTTTTATTTTTTTCGCTTTTCATAACGNCTGTATTAAACTGTAGAGCAACGTAATACCGTCGACTTTCACGATTCGATCTACTATCTGCTTGTAATATTATATTAGTGAACATATTATTGTCAATCAGAGATTAATACTTATCTCCGAATTGTACAACCGAACGGAAATCGGAATTTAATTTATTTTAAATCGGAGTTTACGTACATTTCAAATATACCCGGGACGCAATTTACGTATGTTTTAAAAGTACATGGGCCGCAATTTACATAGTATATGACTATGACCTTTTTTTGGGGACGCAATTTACCGACTCCGGTTGCTAGATAGAACGTGTAAACGATATCGTAACAATATACGGTCATCTATGGGTAACCGGCGAACAAAGATGAATAGATAATAATCGACGTACACAAATAGACGTTCTTACCGAAAGTACCTGAACGCCCCCGTGTTCACCAGCTTGTGCTTAGGGGTTGGATTTTCGAAAATCCATTTTCGGCCGACGTCCACGTCATGGAATTAATGAAATTCCGTAGCCGAATTTCGATCCGATCCGTTCGGCGATGACGAATCAGTCCGGTCGGCCAGGACCGCCATATTTTATACATTATAATAATACGCACGATGTGCATAATATAACGTCCGTCATAAATATTAATGTAACACCTGTTGTTCCACACCTGGGAAAAAAAAAATTATGTTAAGATAATCGTTAGATTTTTCCGTGTTCGTTGCGTATTTACAACCATACGCACACAGTCCGCCGAAGATTTATAATCATTTATGATGTCAATTTCGTAAATATTATTATAATATTATATTAATCATAATTATATACGCAATTATAATATTATATTAATTATAACTAAGCAACTATTATATAAATTATTTACACGCGGAATAATAACAATTAATATGGGTATTTCATTAGTAGACGTCATGCTGTTTAAACTGTTTTCGCATAACACGCGTAGTTTATTATTATTTTAATTCAACAAATATATAATTTAAATATTTTAATATTTTATATTAAAAAACAAACCATATTCCCAGTGCTTTAAGTAAGAGAACATGATTAAATAAGAAATAGTTCATTTCGGGATATCAGTGTATTACGAATATGTAATATCTTCTTTGTATTTAAGTTTCTATCGGTTTCGGGTGTTGAAAATCGTATTGAATATCGTTTCACTTTAAAGCTACGAACGAAATAATCCATTGGTTGTGCCAAACCGATCCCGAAGGCTTTTCAACAACGATATCCTCCGTTTTGACACACTTGCATATGCGTGAGTAGGATTTTTTTGCGGGGTGTGCATGGTGAGCGTTTTAGGAGTAGTCTTTAAAGTGGAGGGGAAATTAGTTTTTTTTTTACCTCTGGTCAAATTTTAACGTGTACCCTTAATTTTTTTTCTGGGATTGATAGTAATAAATTGCGCGTGGGAGACGCTCAACTATAAACATAATTGACCGTGCTCTTTAGATTCCCAGTACCTCTAGAAGTTTTAGTAAACGAAGATTTCTTCAACCGGTTTTCTGACGAATATTTCTTCGTTTTTATGTTGTCTTTAGTTTTTGAGCTTAGCGTAGAATGTATTGGTTTTACAAATATGTTTTGTTTTGTTTTTTGTTTTTTTTTTACCAAAAATCTTACTCCGATTATCAAATATACCTTTTCTGAAAGTGAATTTTCTCTAGGTGGTACTTTACAGAGGTCATGTATTGAAATTCTCATTAATATTCGAGATAATAAGGAAAATATAATTCTTTAGGTTAAAAAAAATTGAGAAATTAAAATTGACAACCGTTTTATTAATATATTTTATTATTAAATTTTTATTATTTTAATATTTTTTAAACAATCATTGTTGTCATAGAAACGCACATTGTTGTAATCATTGTACCATAATATGACATTTATATTGTTGATAAAGCATCACTATCAACTGCACTCCTCTTCGAATCGTTTTTTCATTAACAATGGTTTATCATTACTTATAGATATATTTAATTCCCATTTTTAGCCTACCTTCCCAACTTTACCCACGTATGAACTATGTCCGTCGTTTTTTTATATTATAAAATTAATAGACCAGGTGTCGTCCTCTTTTAGTGTCCTATCTAATGTCCCACAAGGCAGATATCTAACACTCTTGTTTTTTTTTTTTTTATTGTTTATTAATTATGCAAACAGTGAGTTAAATTAATGTCTATGGATATTAATGTCTAAAAATTGTTCTCTTGTTGGTTCGAATTTAGAGTATAAGTCTATATTTTGGAATTCGTTCGGGCCTGGCCTAATAAGCCGTTTAAATAATATTCAATCTTACTTCTTAAGATATTTATTTTTGCCCGATAAAGGAACTTAATTTGAAACTAAGTATGCAATCACATTGAATCACTTGGACTTTAAAAAAAAAATAAACATCTTTAAAAACCATAAGCTCCACTCAGAATCTAAAATGTTGACACCAAAATGTATTTAAAGTTATATTTCGTCTATTTATAGAATTTTTAGTATAGGTTTCTCATTTTAAAAACCAAATTGAACAGTTTTCGCCACAATGCGATTTCATCGAGATTCATCATATCAGGTGGATGATAATAAACACCTTTTTTAGTTTTTTAAAACTTCATTTTTTTCTTTTGCGTAATTTTTATTCGGTTGGTATACTGCGGATAAAATGATTAGACTAAATTGAAATTCTTGACAATTTGACAGGGAGTTCATTATAGATCGTACTTATTGGTCAAAAATAAAATTTAGTCTAATGTAGTTTTTTTTTCGTAAGAGTTTTAAAATCAAATGTTAAAGAAAATCTATAAAGTATTTACATACTACAGCCTTTCAAAGCATGTAACCAAACTTTGCTCCGAATCGTTTTTGGTTAGCAGTGGCTTATAGTTGATTAAAGGTGTAAATCGAATAATTTATGCAACCCACCTTCTCAACTATCCATCTATATAAGTGGCCGTACCCATTGCCAGTATTATTTTATTTTATTTTTTTCGATAATCGGTTTCTAATATCATAATTCTTTACTAGTAACAACGTTTTTTAACCCCGGTATGTTGTAACGAATGTTAGTAGTGATATTATATTGTTAACGAATAGTTGGTAAAATTAATTAAATATTTACGTTTCTTTATTTTTTATATTATCAACCGAAACAACGCACACCTAAAACGATGTACACTATTTGATCAAATGTTCCGAAAAGTGTTCGATAACAATAGTACCATGGCAATTGCAACGGTTATAATATAGAAGTGGCAACAGTAACTCAGTAGAACATCGATACAATTGTAATCTCCCCTATTCTTATAGCACTAGCTTACTATGAACTCGAACGCTTTAAACATTTTACTCTACACAATTATGGTAATATTAAATTTAAATTCTACAGTCAGAGCAGGATGGTTTTCTCCTACGAAGAATCTATCTAACGAAGATATGTTTAAAAACGCTGTGGTCGAATTTCAAAATGGACACAATCTTAGATGCGCAACTAAAAATGTTATTAAAGTTGTCCGGAACAACCCTACTGATGATTTCGGAGGAGTACCCGAAGAGTTGATCTCGTTTGAAAACGATTTAATTCTAATATTACAACAGGTAGTAAATTTGTTTTCTTTTAAACAAGGAACCTCAAATATTCATTTTCCCGACTACGTTTTAAAGGTTTGTTCGGCACTATGGAGGTTTTTGGATTATATCTATATGTACGCTTTGGTAAACAGGAAAACATTATTGTTAAGTAAAATGCATTTTATTCTTTGTTACAAATTGCCCCCGTATTATAATAACAATATGAATGCGTTCCCGGACGGAGTCGTTGTGGATGGTTTTATTAAAACCTTAAATACAGATTTGTCAATACTGCGCGATTCTGCAACGAAGGAAACGTTAATTGAGAATGACTGTTCACTTTTAAATTTAAATGAGAAGTTAATACAAAACAATGAAAAATTTATTGCGAACGTATTTAATCTTGTCAGTGTTATCGAAAAAAAACCATTCATGAAGCAAATTGACAATAACCTATATCATAATATTAATAGTGATATTTTTCAAAAAAATAATTTGCAATATAAATCTGTGGATATGCACATATTTAAATCATCAAACAATTTCGCAAAAAATGACAGAAAACTTGAGAATCTCACGAAAAACTTTACAGCTGATGTTTTAAAAGAAAAATGCTCTTTGACAATTACCGAAATTAACGAAATTCAATTGGATTCTCCTTTATTGACCGACACAATGAACCAAATTTTGTTGTATGTATTCGAGAAGCTCATATACTTTACATTATATTCTAAAGATAACGATTCTGGGGAAACTGAAGAAGACGTGTCGATCACGGACCGTGATGTATCGATCATGACTGACAAAATTTGCAAGTATATTCCGTTAGTTATTATGTATTTGGTATATAACGAAAGTAATATTAAGAACTGGAAGATCATAAGCTTGTATTTGACTTTCTGCAGTGACTATAAAAAACACACCGATATTCGCTGCTCGAATTTATTTTACGGCACAACAGTAGACAACATTACATCCGAGGACAAAATGATTTGTGAAAGAGAATCAGTGAACAATATTCAGGCGTGGACTTTGTTTACGACTACACGCAAAGAACTAATAAAGGATAAATCCGTAAAAAAAACCTGTTTCAAGTCCGTCTATGCTTTTATAAAAGAAAGCTATGAGATCATTCAGATATTCTACAAAGACATAACCCTCCGCGTATGGGTCACGGTCGAGTGGTTGACCGGGAAATATTTTCTTACCGAAAATTATAGTAACGACGACATGAACAAATTAAAATTCAAAGAGATAACCGTACGAGGCATCACTATGACTCTATCAGAGGCGTACTATTTGACAATACCGTGGAGGATGAGCATAGCAGCCGTCTTGGATTTCCATCACATTATTGTGTATCATCTAAACTCAATGATGAATATGTACATTTACCGGCACGCGCACATTGTAATTTTGTACTTAAAGAGGACCGTGTGTCATGTTGAAAATACAGTATTAAAACGAATTCACGAAAGTGTTTTGTGGCATGAATCCGGGACGGAAATGTTTTACAAATACCTCTTTTTAATGAAAGTAATGATCAAAACGGCCGAAGACAATACCGAAGACAACGCCGAAGATTATCGTATTGCAAAGGATATAATTACCGCTATTTCTAAAATAGAAAGTTTACCCAGGACAAACCGTACTGATTGTTACAGTTTTATCGACACGCATATACCTATTCCGGAAGACGCGAAAGTAGAATTGTCAAATTGGTCCAAGTCGGAACTTCCCGACACTGCCAACGAACACAATTTGTTCGACTTGGTCATGGCAATTAATTGTAAAAATGCTATGGACTATATGCGTACTTTTATTTTGATCGTGAATAAGTCGATGGGCATAACTATCGACTCCAATGAAAAGTATATAAAAAAAGTGATCTGTTCAAAAAATGTATTTCATGTTCAACCCAGTGTCGAGTCTATAAGCGTAGCCAGAGGTTAATACCGTAAATTGTTGGCGAATCAATTAGTTTGTACAATATTAATTATTACCGTTGGTTATAGCTTATAAGATATATAACCTAACCTTGCCAAATATATCAGGGACGGCCAAACTGCGGCTCTCGTCACAGGCTCATTGCATCTTATTATAAGATACCGAACATTTTTACGAAAACAAAAAAACATTTTTTTTACCATGAATTTAAAAATTTTTGTATTTAAAATGTATAATATTTTATTAAATTACAATTTTCGGAAACAATTTACAAAAAAATACCGCGTTTTCGACACAATATTATTAATTATTAATTGCTATCTTATTTGTTGCGTGTTCAGTTTTGTTTTGTTTTTTTTTTTTTGTAAGTTGTTTGAAGTCAGGATTATGCGTGTTTAAAGCAGTCCTAAACAATTCCGTTAAATGATCATCCATTAAAATTGAACGATGTGCCGTTTCTATTATTTTCATTGCCGAGTAAGAATACGTTGTTCCGAAAATTCTCCACATTTTATTACATATTTTGATACCTATCTTATCTTATTTACGATAATCATATATATATATTAATATGAATTTTTTTTTTCATTTCGGCTCTTCCATATTCATTAATATATTGGGCGGCTCGCGAGTCTTTTCTCGCTGGCCATCCCTGGTACACATATTGTAATTAAGTTGGTTTTTTGTTTAATACCTATTCCACTATACAATGTAACATAATCGAAATCATTTATACGATATTGCACGATACCGCACAATTATACTGTTTTAGATTCTGAGTAGAGCGAAGAATTTACGATTTTTTTTCTGTGGACAACTGTTTTTGCCAGCAATTCTGCTTCAACTTTTAATGATAGCGATGTTTCCAAAAGAAAATTTCACTATGGACATACTTAAAGGCGATCATTTTTCGATTTTCTCAAGAGTATTCCCAGAAAATGTGAAAAACAGGAATAAAACATGGGAAACCGAGAAAATCGTAGGAAACCTGGGAAAATTGGTAAAACATTAGACAAATTGTATTTAAGAAAATATATAAAGCCTATTTAATTATTTTACAACATAATTACATATATGTATGTTGTTAACAAAGCATCACTATCAACTGAACTCCGCTCAGAATCGTTTTTTCGTAAGCAATCGTTTATCGCTGCTTGCAGATATACATTAAATTGCCGTCTACATCCTACCTTTTCAACTTCCCATCTACACTAGTGGCTGCAGTCGTCCCCAATTGTTTTAGCTTTTTCTTTTTCTTTTTTTTTTTCAAATTTTAAGCGATTTGAGCAGACTCAAGGTACAGGCAAGCTAGGCACCTGTCTAGAGCGGCACTTAAATAGGGATGACATTTTCAAAACAATGTCTAACATTTATTTTATTCAGATCAGTATTTATTTTTTGTATTGTTTGTTATAAATAAGAACTATGACAACTCAGCAATAAATATGTGTGTATATACCTAAAGAAACATATTTTAAGGCCGATTATTATTAGGGTTAGCCACTCTTTCGATTGAAAGCGAAATTATCCAAAAATTTGACGTAGATGAACTCGTACAGAGTTCTGTTTCACTAAAAGTAAGAAAAATTAATTTTAAAAAATGAAATAAAACGAATTTTAGCAATTGTGTATTATAATAATTATTATTTTAATTTTGTCGGATCGAAACAAACGTTTTAAAATTTGTGAGGTAAAAGAGAAAACTATTTTAAAAATCATTAATAATTTGTATTAATTAAAAGAATACCCGTGCGTTGTATACTTGTACGTTTTATGAATTCATAATCGATTTCTTGGAAATGATATAATCGTATTGTTTTATCGTGTTTTCAGACTACCGGCAATAAATCATGTAGATAACACATTATTATCCGATAAAGTGTAATTTCATTCGCAGAACACGGATAACTACAGTGATTATACCGTGTGAATTGTATCACATTGAGTAATTTTTGTGAAATCGAAATTTGAATTAATAGTTGTCTTACGTTTAATTGGTGTGGACGATGTTAACGGACAATTGTGTACTAAAACCTTTTGCAGGAAAATCGATTGATATGACTCTTGTTCTACGTGGACCAACGATTTATGTTCCCTAAATGAAATTAAAACAAGCATTTTATATCAGTTACGGTGATGTGTTTTCTATGCTTCGGAAAACAGTTTTTCGGACGCGTTATAGGTTTGCCAATTGTATTAGACAAATACGCGATGCCGACTGCAATAAAGAAAACGATAAGCTATGTTTTGCCGAGTTTTGATGTGGTCGTATTGTACTGTTTGGACTTTTTCTTTTTTTTTTTTTAGGAAATTTATGTATCTAATAAAAAAAGTTTGTTTTTCAACGTTATCATAAAAAGGAATTATTCTATTCCGTTGCCACTCCAGAACGCGGAGATTACGGAAAACACTGCATGGTTCCGCGGATAATACCACCTCATTATTATAGAATATCATCGGTACGAGTATTAATTCGATCGGAAACTGATTAGATTGTAAAAACAAAAAAAAAAACCTACGCGCACGCGTGCATAAAACACTAATATAACAACACAATACACAATAGCTAATGTAAAAGAAAAAAAATACTGCGTGCACGTAAAATAATGTCAATCGTAATCGATTATTACGCGTGGAGACGTGGATCGTGAAATTGTAGGTTTTCCTACGTTTTTTTCCCACATAAATGCTTTTATTTTAAAAAATGGCGTCGAAAATCATAAAAATGACGGGGAAGCTGCCGTCGTCCAAACATAATTTGTTGGTCCCGAGTTATACAACCGGACCGGTCGATACTTTTTACGTCCCGTCCCGGCGTGCGTTACATCCCGAAAATTCCCCTTTAAATAGACACACAATATATGCGTCTTGTAAATAAATTCAACATTGATATTTTTGATTGCGATAAAACGTAAACTCTTTCAATCTATTGAACATTGTAGACATATTTTAATCACCCGATTTTTTTGGATTTTTTTTTTTTTGCCCTTCAATTGTGTACACGAACGGTGAGCTCAAACCGTTTTGATTAAATTGTGTGTACCGTGTACAACAGTAATACTATTGTGATTGGGGGCTTTCGCCCGTTTAAATTTTAATAAATAAATAAAAATCTTCCGCGCCCACCGTTTCGTATAACGCGTAAGACGATACGTTTGCGACGGCGTTATTATACGGTGGTACAGTACGCGATAGTCGCCGCGATATCATTATTATCGCGTACGAGATCGATTACCGCCGGGTGCGCGGATCGTATTGCATTTAAGAATACCGTAGCACTGTAGCGTATAGGTTATCCCCGTGGTTATCAGTGCCGTAATTAGAAATTCCAATTCTCGTAGGAAAATATCGCGGTGACCGCCACGGCAGGGCGCAAAATCAAAACACGCCGCGTAAAAAAAAAAAAAATAAATAAATGTTACGCTTAATCAGGCCGATAAGCGAAAAAAAAAATCCATCGGTAAAAGATTCGTATCTGGGCATGGCACAATCCAAGTTTGGGCCCGGTTTACAGATCCGCGTGCTCGTCTGCTCGTGTCACAATAACGGCCATCGTCTGTTGTTTATTCGCCGGTCCATCCATTGATGACTAATGCCACGGGCATCGATTTCGGACCACTAAATGCCGTGGGCCCGTGGCTCATTGCCCATCATGCCACCCTATAGGTACGCCGCTGGCGATTATGCGACACGCGCTCTGTCCGCATATTGTACCCGCGCGGTTTAATAATAACAATAAGGGTGCGGATTTAAATGCTCTAAAAAAACAAACAAACGAAAATGTCTTTGAAAAAATACATTTAAACGCGCTTAAAAAAAAAAGGGGGTTCGAAAATGTCTTATTAACGGACGCTATGTCTACCGTTTCCGTCCGACCACCGGGTAAAACGTGCAAAAACAATGTGTACGCAGAACGAGTAAAACCAGCTTAATTTCGACTTTAGAGTAAAAGCGCGCAAGCTTACAAAAATCGTCGCACTACCTATACCGTGACACCGACAGCCGCTCGCTCGAAAAAATATTGATTTACTCTGTACACCCCGAGTGCGTGCGTGTGCGAGGGAACTATATCGGCGGTTGAAGCGATTTTCGAGAGCGGGATTTTCGCAAGGGACTTCAGAGCTGACGGGCGTACAGACGCGGTCGGAGAGGCCAAGTTTCGCGCACGTAATATTCGCTAAAATAACGATGATGATAATAATAATAATATTATGACGATGATGAGCTTCGTTTGAGAAACGGGCGTACGCGGATCAAATTTTAGGCCGCAGATATGTTAATACACGCGCGTATAACCCTTTTGGCGAAATATTATTATTGGATTTCTCTCTGCGTGCGTGCGTGTAGACGTACCCACATACTATTATAAATTCGTTTTATCTCCGAAAACAACCGTCAAACGCATTTAATAGCGATTTCGTGGCAAAAAAATTAAAAAAAAAAAAAAAAAAATGTTTATGTTTCGGTATCGTTCGACGACTTTCGGTACAGGTACTCCCCGAAAAAACGAACGGGAACACCACTGATATTATACACGCGTGCAGTAGAGACGTGACGAGCCGAGAATCGCACATTACCGAACCGGACCAAACGCCCACGCGGACCGGTGTAAGAAGTCGGGCTCGTCGGTTCCAACGAGGGTTCAAGACAATCGGGGCCCGCGACGCGTTCGCGACTGTTGGCCGCTGCGAATTCGTGTTGTCGCCCCGCGGTTGAAATCCGCATTGCGCGCGGTACGACGTTGCTGCGCCCGAGCGGCGGGCCGGCAACCGGAACCGCGCGGCGCGACCCCCGGCCGGCCGCCGTTACATTAGTTGTTACGATAGCGGCCGCGCCCGCGCGCGATCGGTCGCTTTTGTGGAACGCGCGCGCGCGCGGCCAACGGGTTCGAACACGTCCGCCAAGTGCGACGGCGACAGGCCCGTATAAAACGCGGCACGTCGTTTGAACACCGGCGGCGGCGCGCCGTTGCGGAACGCGACACGCCGGCGGAAGTGCCGCGATCAAAAACGGATTTGCCGGCGCCAAATACAGCGCGTAACTGTGCCCGCGTGAATAGCGTACACGCACACATATATTGTAACTCACGCCGTCGGGCTGCGCGCCGCGCACGAGAAAAACGTACGGACGGTGTACGGCGGTCGCGCGCGAAACGGCAGCGCGACAATTGCGGCGGCGGCGGCGGCGGCGGCGACCGGGCCCCCGGGGTTCTCCGCGCGGTGCAATAATGCGATAATTCCGCCGCCGCGGCGCGGACAAACGGTTGCGTTTTCGGTTTCCCTCGCCCCCCCCCCCATCACCCGTACGGATATCGCCGTTATTATTATTATTGTTATTTTTTTGTTTTATTTTTTTCGACGCCTATTTGTGTACCGCTCGATTTTCGATTTGTCGCGTGATAACGGCGACGCGAGAAATAACCCCTGCCGCCCCCCCCCCTTCCCCCCTACCACGTATTTTTCCCGTCCGCCATCCCCGTCGCACGCCCCACCCAACGGGATGTGCCCGCGCCGTCGGTCCGATTCGTAATAATTGTTGTCCGAAAATGACTTTTCTTTTCCGTCCAACACACACTTTCAATATTAAAACGCACGATACCGAGTAAACTTTAAAAAAAAAAAACAAAAAAAAAACAATTATTCTTTTGTGAAAAAAAAAA